ACAAATTGTGCAGAGTGATCAGAACGGTGACAGAAGCTGGAGGTTGTGCCCTAGTCCCCCCCCCCTTGGAGGTTACATTCACATAGAGCTTTGAGGACCAAAGAGGGCTTGCACTCCAACATGCTCTGTAGGAAAATAGAGTAAAACAGTCCCTGTTTAAAAGACAGCCTCCAATGACCTCGGAGCACAGGAACCAGACCGAGGCATGCAAATGTCAAGAAATGGATAAATGAAATAGAACAGAAAACCTCCGCTCCTTCAACCACATCCCTGGCCTTGGTTCTTACTTCCCACATACAGTAACCCTCTTGGAGGGTGTTCCCAGTCTATGTGTCTGGAAAATGTGTGACTGGAAAATTGGGACATTCATGCCAGCCTCATACCCCAGTGTCCACATGTCTACACAATGTCTAAAGGGGAGCACGTTCAGCTATAAATGCATAGGCTCCTCTTTTAGTCATTCATTCATTCAATATCTCACCTTTCTCCCAGTGCAGGATCCAAGGTGGCTCACAGCATAAATCAAAACAGATAACTAAATACAAACAATTTGAATATATATATATATATATATAGAGAGAGAGAGAGAGAGAGAGAGTGCAACCCTATTAAAAATTGAACAGAAAAACCTTCCTCCTCCAAACATAAAATTAAGAACATCATCCATCTGCACAAGACACTGCCACAACAGCCAGTTGGTGGTCAAAGACCTTCCAGTGAAAGGAAAGCAGAGAGGGCCTAGCTTACCATGGAAGTGAGCTTCACATTCTTGGAGCCACCACCAAGAAGGCCCTTGCATTGTTGCCAAATTTTCCTGTGAAGGTGGCGGGGCTGAGAGAAAAGCCTCCCTGCAAGGTCTCAAAACCCAGGTGGGCTCCTATAGGGAGGTATAGTCCTTCAGGTAGCTTTGACCCAAGCCATGTAGGGCTTTGTAGGTCATCCCCAGCACTTTTCAGATGGGGGATGTGCCGTGGTGGAGCCAGCTGGTGTGGTCCAGGCTTTTCCCTCCACACACTCCATGATTGTAATGGGTTGGGGGTGGCTTTAAAAGGTGGTTGTGGCAGAGCCAACACAAGTTTTCTTTGGCGGCACACTTTCCCTTATACCTTGTGTTTCTCTTCTTTGCTCCACCACACTCTAGCCATCAGAGGCTCCACCGAAACATTCAATCCATCGGTTGAGTTTGGTAAGGCTGTAGAAACGTATCAGTTAGACGATGTACAGTTGACACCTTTTTGGTGCATGCCTGTGAATGGCATAGCAGGATATTAAGCTGTTTGGCTTAGGGCCGGGAAGGGACCAAGTCAAGCTCAGCGCCATCATGTGGTGGCATTTTGGTCATCTTGAGATCCAGTGGATCCAAACCCACCATAAAGGTAAAGGTAAAGGTACCCCTGCCCGTACGGGCCTGTCTTGACAGACTCTAGGGTTGTGCGCCCATCTCACTCAAGAGGCCGAGAGCCAGCGCTGTCCGGAGACACTTCCGGGTCATGTGGCCAGTGTGACAAAGCTGCATCTGGCGAGCCAGCGCAGCACACAGAAACGCCATTTACCTTCCCGCCAGTAAGCGGTCCCTATTTATCTACTTGCACCCGGGGGTGCTTTCGAACTGCTAGGTTGGCAGGCGCTGGGACTGAGCAATGGGAGCGCACCCCACCACGGGGATTCGAACCGCCAACCTTTCGATCGGCAAGCCCTAGGTGCTGAGGCTTTTACCCACAGCGCCACCCGCATCACCATAGGCACACCCTATTCCTGGAGTGCCCAGCTATGGGGTGAAGTCTCCCAGCAGTACTTCACACACACCCCTTGCCCTGGTAGTACTTCCAGGTGACTGGGGGCGGCCGCCGAGACCACATAACACCAGTCTTGAAAGACCTACATTGGCTCCCAGTAGGTTTCCCAGTAAGGGACGCAGGTGGCGCTGTGGGTTAAAGCCTCAGCACCTAGGACTTGCAGATCGAAAGGTCGGCAGTTCGAATCCCTGTGGCGGGGTGCGCTCCTGTCGTTCGGTCCCAGCGCCTGCCAACCTAGCAGTTCGAAAGCACCCCTGGGTGCAAGTAGATAAATAGGGACCGCTTACTAGCGGGAAGGTAAACGGTGTTTCCGTGTGCGGCTCTGGCTCGCCAGAGCAGCGATGTCACACTGGCCACGTGACCCGGAAGTGTCTGCGGACAGCACTGGCTCCCGGCCTATAGAGTGAGATGAGCGCACAACCCTAGAGTCTGGCAAGACTGGCCCGTACGGGCAGGGGTACCTTTACCTTTACCTTAGGTTTCCCAGCACAATTCAAAGTGTTGGTGTTGACCTTTAAAGCCCTAAATGGCCTCGGTCCAGGATACCTGAAGGAGCGTCTCCACCCCCATCGTTCTACCCGGACGTTGAGGTCCAGCGCCGAGGGCCTTCTGGCGGTTCCCTCATTGCGAGAAGCAAAGCTACAGGGAACCAGGCAGAGGGCCTTCTTGGTAGTGGCACCTGCCCTGTGGAACGCCCTCCCACCAGATGTCAAAGAGAAAAACAACTACCTGACATTCAGAAGACACCTTAAGGCAGCCCTATTCAGGGAAGTTTTTAATGTGTGACATCTTAGTGTATTTTTGGTCTTTGTGGAAGCCGCCCAGAGTGGCTGGGGAAACCCAGCCAGATGGGTTGGGTACAAATAAATAATTATTATTATTATTATTATTATTATTATTATTATTATTCCACCCAGTACTTCTGCTCCCTTTCAGCAGGCAGAACCAGGAACTCCACACCAGTAGGAAAACACCAACACCAGTCCATGGGGCCGTGGAGGCTAGTGGAGCTCCCTTCACTGGGTGAAGGGAAACCTCTACCTCAATCAGAGCAGTGAATTGAGGGTGTTGGATTGCATCCTTACTATATGATTTCCCTCAATACCAGGGGTGGAGAACCTCTGGCCTGCCACCAGTCCATCTTGGGCAAGCCTTGCCCAAGAGGTGCAGACTAGAAGCCTTTCCTTATATTTCGGATGCGACTCCTCCATTTTACAGATAATGAAGGTCTGGGGGAAGTGGAGGCTGCTCCATTAGGGAAAGAGGGGCACTGCCCCACGAAGCTGCCTGCCTTCTTACTTACAGCCAGTCAGAGGGTAGCTCTGCCTGTGATTGGTTCCACTGACCAATGGTTTCCCCGCCTTCTGCCCTACCAGTCCCAATGGGCACCAGCCAGTACTGACTGGGAAACGGAGCAATAAACGGACAGGTTGGGGGGAGCAGAATTCTGTCGTGCAGACAATACTGAGCAAGATGCAGAGGTTCTGATTCTGCATACAGCAGCATCCTATGTCCCCATGTTTTTGGATATTCACAACATGTTGGATTGTCATATCAGAGAGTTGTCACATGTGAATGTCAACATCTAACTTTGGATGTACCGTCATATCAGAAATGGTGTGCTAAGACAAGGGCGTGAAATGTTTTGCAAAACCTTTTACTGGATTCTTTTTTTTACTACATTTTTATATTGTGCATTTACGTTTTGCTTGTGGTTTTCCTATTGTAATTTAATGGTGTTGTTATATCAAACAGCATATAACTTCAAGCCATAATAATAAAAGAGGGGTGTGTGTTTATGTCTTCAAAAGGCGGCTGTTCCACACGAGAAGCCAAAATGAGCTTCCTTTGCCTGCACGCTTTTCCTTATTTAGGTTTTCCATTTTTCTCTTCTTTTTTCTCTCCACACCCCCAGCCGGCACCATCTGTATCAAAAGTTCCAAGTACTCAGATTAATTTGGTAAGTCTGTAGAAACATATATTGTAGAAGATACCACTTTCATTATTTACCCCTTGACAGCCTTTTAGTGCATGCAGATGAGTTGATGAAGAGGAGCTTAAAACTGTTTGGCTTTGTGGATTAAACACAGGGCACAATGTCCTGCTTGAAGTGTCCTTTGTCACCTCAGACTGCAGATGAGGAAGGGAGGTGGGGAATCACAATTTTGTATACTGCCCTAGGTAAAATAAATAAAAGCCTTCAGCAAAAAACAAAGGCACCCCGTTTGTCACATTTCCATCCCCTCACATGAATTTCAAATTCTCACCATTTAGATAACACGACGTCGGGTGTGGGAAAGCTTTGGCCCTCTAGACATTGCTGAACTACCACTCTCAACATCTCTAGCTGTTGTCCATGCTTGCTTGGGCTGGTGGGAGTTGGAGTTCAGCAACATCTAGGGGGCTAAAGCTTTCTGGCACCTGCACTAAGGGCCCACCCACACCCCCAACGTAATGTGGATTGTGAACCCCTTGCAGCTCCTTTAGTTCCCTCTCTGCCATGTGGCATTCTCCTCCAACGACCGCTGTCCTCCATTTTCCTTCTGGGGGTGTGGCAGGGGTGGGACCAGAGAGGTGAGGGGACTGGATCCTAAGCCTGTTCCGCTCAGGCACATGATCTAGCAACCTGGCCTAGACCAGGCTTAGTTTAAAGGTTTAGTTTTCCCTTTGCCAGGCTTTAGGAAACAGGGTTTGGGTCTGGTGTAACATTACACTGGATTAAGTTTCGCCAGCTTGGCTTATGCCAGTTTCTTGCGCGTAGGATTGCTCTCTTGGTCAGTGTGAATTCTGTTCTATGCCACAGGCACTGGGATGAGGGAGTAGAATGGACTGACTTGCTTCAAGCACAGGCGGGCAGCCACTTATCCCACAATGTAGCAAACAAGAAAACAACAACCACCCTGCAAGTAGAAAGCTGCTTCATTGGGAGCAGCTTGGCTGCACTTTTTCTCCCTGCTGTGCTTGTTCTTTACTTGCATGGAGACACAATGCTCCCCATGTCTTGTTTTGTTTTCAAAGGCATACTGAGAGATGGCGAAGCAAGCAGGTGCTATTGGACTGCAAATCCCATACCACCCCTAACCGCTGGGCACACCAGCAGGGGCTGATGGGAGTGGAAGTCTAACACGAATCAGTATGGCATCGTGGTTCAGGTGTTGGCCTGGGACAGGTGTGGGGAACCTTGGCCCTCCAGATGTTGCTGAACTACAATTCCCATCAGCCCCAGCAAGCCTGGCCTGGCCTAGTCTCAGACTATTGTAAGATCAAACAAGTATTAGATGGGAAACAGCTGCTTTTAGAGATCTTTCAAAACATGTGTTTCCCCTAGCTCCAGGAGCACAATGGAGGCTGGTTCCTTTGGGTCAATGGAGCACTGCTCCAACTTCAATATGCCCCCTTCTGCCTGCCTTCTTATTTACAACCAGCCCAGGATGGAGTGGCAGCACTCCTGTTAGCTTCCTCCTCAGCCTAAGTGTCACCCTTGGAGAAATCAGCATTGGGGTGGGGTGGGGAGGGGACTAGAATCAGTTGACTCTGCCTGTCATTGGCTCTGGCCCTACCTACCACCCTGTCAGTTCCACAGGACACCAGCCAATACCGCAACAATGTGAGTTGTAGTGCAAGGAATAGTCTCTGCGTGAAAAGAGCATTTGGAAGCCTCTGATCTTTGACAGCCCTGCATCTTTGATGGCCTCTGGTGGCCACAAGAACTAGAGTTTATTGGGTGGGGGGGGTAAGAAAGTGTAGGGAGGGGTGCAAATGCAATCAGATATATTTAACAGAATCCAGGGAACCTCTGGAGCTTCAGCCCCATTCCAGCCCAACCCTCAGTGCTGCACATTAGGAGCCAGGAAGAAGCATTGTTGGAAGGGATCCCAAAGGTCATCCAACCCCCTGCCATGCAAAGAGTTTTATTGCTGCCTGTACACATTCTTACTGGTGTTTTGCATTTTCTTCCTTGTTTCTCCGTCCCCCAGCCACCAAGGTCGGCGGACAGCAGCCGCAAGCTGCCACCAAGGTCTGAGGACAGCAGCCGCAAGCCGCCACCAAGCTCAGAGGACAGCAGCAGCAAGCCTCAGGATAGCTTGGTAAGAACGTAAAGCCAAACACTGCAAGATGAAACAACATTGGTCAGCAATCCCCTAAGCAGCCTTTAACAGTGGATGCACATCTCTATTGTCAAATTTAACAAAGGAGAAAGATAGGAGATAGACTATTTTAAAAAAAAAAAAAATAGTACAGGGAAAAGTATAATAACAGCACCCACTGTCAGCTCGCATTGAGAATGCAGTAGCGACCAGTACTTCCAGCTAAAACTGGACATAAAAATTGTTATAAGTCCTCCAGATGTCCAGAGAGGAACCCACGTGAAACTGGTGTTTACAAAAATATATTCAAATGTAGCAAAGGCGGTGAGGTCCTCAGACTATTGCCTAATGGATAGTGGGCATTTATCCTTCCAGGCTCAAAATTTAAGTCTCCTGGCAACCACAAGACCTCACCACATTCACTTTTGCTGTCTTGCTGTTTATCCTCACACAACAGGAATATAGTTAAAAAGAACACGGTCATCCTCCAAATGTCAAAGGTTTGGCCAGTGTAAGATTTATATGGACAATAGCTTCAGACCAAAAATAATATATCACTCGACATGCCCATATCATATGCCTTGATGAGGCCTTGTCAGCGCTGAACTTCCAGCACATCTCTGCACAAGAAAGTGCCTTCCTATACAAACGTTGTGAAGTACAAGCTACCAGAAACAACCAATTTTGCCTGTTCAGTCTCTGTTTCATATCTAGAGAAGCTACAAAGCTCACCAGGTGACTTCCAGCCCATTGCTGTATCTCAGCCTAAGCTGCCTCACAGTGGCCTTGTGGGGATAACATGAAAATTCAGAGAGCTATGGACACCATCTTTAGCTCCTTGGATGAAAAGTGGGATATCAACGTAACAAATGTAATACATAAATAAATATAATTATAATCAATCAACCCATGCCACTCGTCCCCAATTCAGAATGGGACCACAGCAGACGCAAAGGGTTAAAAAGGTCCAGAAATATAATTTTAGTCCTTATACTGGCAGCATCTCAGAATTCTGCTTTTTAAAAATATTTATGGGATTATTGTTGCCATTTGTAGGTGTTTGTTTTTCATGCTGATACTGTATTATTTAATTTTGTGCTCTATTTTATTTTTTAAACTGAATTGGACATAGAATCATAGAATTCTAGAGTGGGAAGGGATAATGAGGGTCATCTAGTCCACCCCCCCCCCACAATGCAGTAATCTTTTGCTCAACAAAGGGCTCGAACCTGCCTCTCTCAGATTAAGAGGACTAAATTAGTACATGACTAATAATGTAAAGAATAGATCAATTTTTAAAATGAAAGCCCCACCACCACATGGCCTGGGGTCTAGCTGATGGGGAGGAAGAACATCTACAATTCTAAATCCCGGACAAGCCCTATATTTATTGCAATACTAAACGATGAGTGAACGTTCCTATAGTGTCGGGTTTTATCTCTTTAGAGAGCCAGTGTGGTGTAGTGGTTAACAGCGGTAGTCTCGTAAGCTGGGGAACCAGGTTCGCGTCTCTGCTCCTCCACATGCAGCTGCTGGGTGACCTCGGGCCAGTCACACTTCTTTGAAGTCTCTCAGCCCCACTCACCTCACAGAGTGTTTATTGTGGGGGAGGAAGGGAAAGGAGAATGTTAGTCGCTTTGAGACTCCTGAAGGGGAGTGAAAGGCGGGATATCAAATCCAAACTCTTCTACATTGTGAGCTTTCCACCCAACTGGCAAGGTCAGGGAGCTGTCCAGTGAGCTAGTGATCAATAGGTTTCAGATAGCAATGGAGCTGTCCAGCACAGCGAGATAAGATGCTGCATCAGCGGTGGTTAGACCCCCCAACTAAGCAGCCCTACAGCTAGCACTGCTGTTCCATCCCTAGTCCTGTGGCCAGAATGAGAAAAGGCTGCCTAAATCCATCTGACATCAGGACCCATTAAAAGCAGAGGAGAGCAGGAATATGTGAGATAAATTAAGGTTACCTGATTTTTCCCCAATGAATCTGGGGACACTTTTCAACTTCAATAGGAATGATAGGATTTTGTCAGGAGACTGATTTGTAAATCCAGGGACTGTCCCTGGGAAACGGGGACGTCTAGTAACCTAAAGATAAATGCTTTGACCCATAGACACTTTTCCAGTCGTATAGGGAAGTCCAAAGGGTGCCTCCTTGCTTCGGAGAGGCATTCACCGGCTTAAAGCAGGACTGGGGGACCTGTGCCTCTCCAGATGTTGTTGGACTCCAACTCCCATCAGCCCCAGCAAGCATGGGCAGTGGTGAGGCATGATGGGAGTTATAGTCCAGCATCTGGATGGCCACATCCCTGGCTTAAGTATGGAGGTGTAGACTGGAGGCAGGGCAGTGGGTTCCTGATAAAGCTATCCTAGGCATGTCTACTCAGAAATCAGTCCTATTGCGTTCAGTGGGGTTGGAAACCTGTGGCCTTCCACTGGAAAACAGGAAGAAATGTGGTAACTGCCTTATACTGTCAGGCCAATGGTTCATTATAGCTGACACTGATTGGCAGTTGCTCTTCAGGGCTTCACATGGGGAACTGTCCCAAGTCTACCTCGAGATGTTGAGGATTGACTTTCTGCATGCAAGGCAGATGTTCTACCACAGAGCCACAACCCTTCCTCTATTATCCCCCAGATGCTCTTGGACTCCAGTTCCCATAAGCCTCAGCCAAAACATCCAATGGTCAAGGATGATAGGCGCTGTAGTCCATCAACATCTGGAAGGCCACACTTTCCTGTCCCTGCAGCAGAGGATTACAACCAGTAGAAGCTGTTTCTCATACTTTTAGGGGAAGGCAGGTTCTAGGATCCAACAAGAGCTGTGCGGGGGGAGGGGGAATTTGTTTTTTCAATCCCACCTGCTGTTGAACCCAGTGGAGTTTTGACTATACGCAGTTTCACATATACCTGAGAACATAACCCCTGCAAAAGTGGGGAGATTGTATTATGATAATTTTTGCAGTGCAATTGAAAATGAATCTCTTGCTGTTTGTCTTTTAGTATCCCTTAATTTCAGTTGATTTTTCAGCAATAGCTACGGACCAGAATTGATAAAACCAAACAAATCCTTATTTATCCCTTTAAAATATTTCTGTTTTCTTACCATAACCATTCTGGCCGAGTTAATAATGAATATAAAACCAATGCTGTATCCAAACTGTGTTCATTTGGCTCATCCTATCTCCCCAGTAATGCTAACAATGGGATTGGTATCAATTCTTGTTTGTTTTTAATTTCATAGAATCATAGAATCATAGAGTTGGAATAGACCACAAGGGCCATCGAGTCCAACCCCCTGCCAAGCAGGAAACACCATCAGAGCACTCCTGACATATGGTTGTCAAGCCTCTGCTTAAAGACCTCCATGAACACCACCTCCTAAAAAGAAAGGGTTTCACGTATACTGCCTCCCCCCCCCCATTTAACCTTTTCTTCTTTACTTCTTCACACCACAGGCTGTCAGGCCAGGGCACAGGGCTCGCAGGCGTCGGGAAAGCATAGTAAGACTTGATAGACATATGCATTTCAGATGTATATTTTTATATTTACAGAATTATTTTTATATTATTTATATTGCTGCACACCATGATGTTATGTTGTATGTATTGGCAGTATATACGCGGGTGGCGCTGTGGGTTAAACCACAGAGCCTAGGGCTTGCCGATCAGAAGGTCGGCGGTTCGAATCCCCACGACGGGCTGAGCTCCCGTTGCTCGGTCCCTGCTCCTGCCAACCTAGCAGTTCGAAAGCACATCAAAGTGCAAGTAGATAAATAGGTTCCGCTCTGGCGGGAAGGTAAACGGCGTTTCCGTGCACTGCTCTGGTTCGCCAGAAGCTGCTTAGTCATGCTGGCCACATGACCCGGAAGCTGTACGCTGGCTCCCTCGGCCAACAAAGCGCGATGAGTGCCGCAACCCCAGAGTTAGCCACGACTGGACCTAATGGTCAGGGGCCCCTTTACCTTTAAATTATTTTATACATAAACTCCCTGCAGGGTTGCTGTGCGAATTGTCTGTTAAAGAAAGAATAAAACAAACAAACAAACAAACAAAAACAGAGAGTCCTGTGCCACTTTAAAGATTAATGAATTAGGCATAAGCTTTCATGGACTAAAGTCCACTTCATCAGATGTTCTCTGCTGGCAGCAATATATGTTGGGAGGGTGGGGTATAGAGAAAGAAATAGGTTAACAGTGGATTCAAACGGCTGTAGAATGTAGAAAGTACAGATTGTGACAATTGAAAGCTTAATCATCTGTAAAATAAACACTGTGATCAATTGGTGATACACAGTTATCCTAGCTTTGGAAGGACAATAAAAACAGTACTGGGAGTGGAAACCATGGTCTATATTGATGCCCAGATGAATATAATCAAACTGTATTTGCAACTCCAGCTCATGCTGGAGTCTGCCCTTTGAAATAGCTCTGTAGGTGAATGGCAGCAGTTTTATTCTTAGTCATATTTTGTCTTCTTCTTTGTTTCTTCACCACCAACATCCCCAGCTGGGAGTAATGACAACAGGATAGACTTTCTGGTGCACCTGGGGGCAAGATGATGGTTGGGGGGGCAAATAGCACACATGGGGTTGTGTCCAATGTTAGTCCTACTCAGAGTAGAGCCACTACTAACACAAAGAACATGAAAGAACACGGCTAACTTTGGTCCGATCGATCGATAGATAGATGATAGATAGATAGATAGATAGATAGATAGATAGATGATAGGTAGGTAGGTCTATTCTGTATGGAACTTCACTGGATATGACTCGCAGGTCTGATCTCCAATAGCTGGGGAAGCAGCTACTGCTGCTGTCCCCAGCTTCTGCATCCTGTAATGGTTGCCTCAGTCACTTTGCCTAACAGTAGGGCTGGCCCCAGTTGTAACCCTGCTGTGAAAAAGGCAAATTCCATGCTGGGGATCTTTAGCAGAGGAACTGAGAATAGAACTGCTGGCATCATAATGCCGTTGTACAAATCTGTGGTGCAACCATATTTGGAATACTGTGTACCGTTCCGGTCACCTTACCTCAAAAAGGATATTGTAGAGTTACAGAGGTGGAAAAGCTTCAGAAAAAGGAAGCCCAAAGGATCAACTCCCCTATGGAGAAAGGTTGCCATGTTTGGGACTTTTTGCTTTAGAGAAAAGGCTAATAATAATAATAATAATAATAATAATAATAATAATAATATACTTTTTGTACCCTACCCACATCTGACTGGGTTTCCCCAGCCACTCTGGGTGGCTTTCCAACAGAACATAACAAAAGCACAACAAAGCAAAACAAAACACCACACCTCAAAAGAGGCAACATGATAGAAGTTTTTTTTTAAAAAAAATGAGGCACAGCATGGAGAAAGTAGATAGAGAAAAGTTGTTCTCCCTCTCTCATGACGCTAGAACTCACTGACACCCAGGGAGGCTGAATGTAGGAAGATTCAGCACTTTCATGCAGTGCATAGTTCAATTATGGAACACCAGCCCGGGTGGCTTCAAAAGAAGGATAGGCAAATTCATGAAGGCTGTCGATGGCTACAAGCCATGTTGGCTATGCTTCTGAATACCAGTTGCTGGAGACAGTGGCCTTGTGCTCGACTCCTGCTTGTGGGTTTCCCATGGGCACCTGGGCAGCTGCTAGGAAATGAGGAGGCTGGAATAAATGGGCCAATGGCCTGATCCAGCAGGCTCTTCTTACTTTCTTGCTTTTTCCTTCAGGGGACTTTCTGAAGCCTCTTGATCATTTTGGTTGCCTTTTTCTGCATCCTTTACAGTATCCTTTTTGAGACCTTTTTAAAGAGATCTATTAGCCTGGGCACGCACCCCAGGTTATTAAAAGTTTCCAAACTAACCACACATTTTTATTTTAATACCAGAAACCCCCTGAAAAACCAGGAGAGTGAGGAGAGACAAATGCGCAATCAGGACTTCAGAGACTTGCAGATCATGGGAAAACAGCATCCAAGCAGAGAATGGAAAAAGCAGGAGTCAAGTGGAGAGAGCGGCAGATTTGTGAGAAGGACGGAGATACGGTTAGGATAGTCTTCTGAGTGGAGGCTGCATCTGAAGAAGTGTCAAAAGGGAAAGGGAAGAACAGCTTCGGCACTCATCACCCGGAGAAGGAGATATCAGCATACGTACCAACCTCCAGTGCTATCCCTACTGCTAGAGCATCATTCCTTGGACGTAGGCCACAAAGGAACTTCTCTTTGTATATATATGACCCTCAGAGTTCCTCAGTGTGTTCACACTTTGCTTCGAATTTCCGGCCCTTTCCATGTTGGCATTGAGTAGGAATTATGCCCAAGTAGTGCCAGTTTGGAGGACATGCCCCTGGCAGCGGCCCAGATCATGGAATAGCAATGGGTTGCTTGAACTGCAGACAAGTCCAAGAACAACATACACAGCTTGGTTCTGGCCCATCAAGAAAGAACCCAGGACACGTTCCTTAGCCAGGTTCTGGGTCATCTTTTCTGCTACATTCAGAGATGCTAGCGGGTCTTTTCAGTAAGACCTTTTGATTTCAAGCTCTTCTCTTCCAAAGCCTCAAGATGTTTGCTATGCTCTCGGCCCTGCCTTTTCCAATGCCACCTAGGATCGCGTCACACGCAGAGGAATAAGGAAAGCTCACTTGCTGCTTTGCATTCTCTGGATTTGGGGATGCCGCCTAGTTCAGTTAAAATGAACTTTGCCCCGAAGGACTTTGTGAACGTCACAAAATAGATGGGGAGGGGGGAATAGATGCAGTTATGTTAATCAACTTTCAGAATTGTGCTGGCTTCAGAGTCGCAATAGAACAATAAAATACTGAATTGAGTGTTAGCGCCTTTATGTTTATGAAAAATTGCTGCTTATGCACCATTGTGTGTGACTGGATCCTGGCCTGTATATTTCGGATGGAGGTATTATAGTAAGTTTTTTAATTGTACAGTAAACTATCATAGGATAACATGTTATGCAGAGTGGTATACAAATACTTCGAATAAGATTTCTACTACTACTACTGCTACTACTAATTAAAACAGAGTTTCCCAAACTTTGGCTCTTCTGGATCCTCCAGAAAACCTATTTATTGAGCATTCATGGCAGAACATTTTCCCCCTACTTACTTTAAAAGGGAACTAGCAGAACTTCAGCCAGGCAACATTACGGTAGCAAAAATAAGCAGAAACTAGAATGAGAGCAAAGGTTAATTTCTTGCCTGCTGGTCTGCAGAGCAGTTAAAGAGCTACAGTTTTAAAGACATGCATAGACATGAAAAGAGGAAAACGGCACCTTTGAAGTCCACAGTGCAAAGAGCAGCTTTGAGGGAGGGCTTTTTGGCAGGAGGAGGGGGGGGAGTTAAGTTCCCTTTCCCTGCCTGCTGTGATCCCAATATTGCTCAGCACCTCCCCTTTCCAACAGCTGCTATTTGCATTTTTGAAAGAAAAAAAAAAGACCTTGCACATTACATGCAAAAAGAGATATTCACCTCCTGTCTAGTATGGCCCTCAGTGTCCCTTGTGGAAAGTCCTCATTCAGAGCAGCACAAAGAATAGGGAACATGATTGTTGCAACCAGCAGAGGGCAGTGATGCCATTTGAGTCTTGCTTACAAACAGTCCGGGGGTGGCAGTGCCTGTCAGCATCTTCAGTCTCCAGTGTTTGGTTGGCATCCGCTCGGGAGACAACAAAAGAGTGTTGTCCTGGTATATCTTAGCAGGGAGGAGGATGGGAACCAAACTGGACTTTGTTGGCTCTGAACATCAGGGGCTCTGCATCCAGCTTTGGTGGTCTTCCTACCAGCCAGCCACCACCACCACTTGGCATTCAGGAGTGCAGCTGCAGAGATGGATAACCTGTGGTCCTCCAGATGTTGATGGACTCCAGCTCCCATCATCCCTGGACCTTGACTGATGGCCACGCTGGCTGGCACCGATGGGAGTTGGAGTCCACCAACATCTGGAGGGCTGCACATTCCCCACCCTGCTTTGAGAGCCCACCCACTCAACTTTCCTCAAAATGAGACGTATTGTGGCGTAAATGTATCAGGATAGATAGATCAACCACAAAGTCAAACCCCACTTCCCCATATTGACAAATGGAAGATGGAGCCCCTATAGATGAGCTTCAAGTGGTGCAGGGGCTCACATCAGAAGTGGGATTCGGGGGCAACATAGGCAGCTGTCAGATAATGAGACAGACCACAGGGCCCTGGCTTAGTAGTCTATACACGGGCTGGCAGCAGCTCTCCGGTATTTCAGACAGGGAGTCCCTGGAGATGGCAGGGGTTGATCCTGGGACCTTTTGCACGCAAAGCAGATGAGCTATGGGAGGAACATCGATAACCCTGCTTTCCAAGCCGGTTTATGAGCGTGCACACCCTCGCCATTGGCCTCTTCTTTGTTCAGAATCCACCGGGCGGTCCAGCGCGCCTCTCTTCCCCGGTCACCTTGCGGGTTTCGAGGGGCTGGCGGGGGAAGCGGCTAGACGGAAGGCCTGCCCCCCCCCCCAATTCGCAACAGGTAAGATGCGCCTGCCTCCCAGGGAGCCCGGCACCGGGGATCGCCACTGCCAAAGCCTCCGCCGGCCGCTTTAAGCGAGAGCAAGCAAGGCGTGCAAAGGGAGACCATCCCAGGGTCAATATTTGCATAGCCACGCCCACGCGCCGTGAAGGGCGGAGGGAGCCGGAGCCGGCGGCTGGCTGGAGGCTCTCGGGGAGCGCGGGCCGCCACGCGCTTCCCCTTTAAGAGCAGAACCTCCGGTCTCGCCCCTCGCCTGGCAAAATGTATCAAATCCGGTGGGCGGGGACGGGCTGGCGCGTCGCGGGCCAATGGGAGCGCGGGGTTTTCCGCGGGAGATCCGAATTTCGCGGCACGTAGTTTGGCGCTTAAAAAAAAAAAAGCGAGAGAAGGAGGAACGGAAAGAGAAAGGGCTGGGCAGCCATCGGGTGCGCTCTTGCCCCAATCCAGATCCATCCTTGCCCCAGGCGGCCCTGGCAGCGGCCCGGAACCTGGCAGCGGCCCAGCCGGGAGCCCCAAGGAGCCGAGGGGGCCAGCATTGCAAGTCGGCGGCAGCTCCATGAAAGGCGCCGGGGCCGCGAAAGGATCCAGGGCCCGGACTGGCTGCTTGAGCCCGGCCAGGATGCTTCTGCCGAGCCCCTCCGCCGGCCCTGGGATCTAGGCACTGGGAGCCGGAGCGGGGGGCAGCCGGGGAGAGAAATCTTCCGGGTGGTGTTTTGCAGAAAGAAAGAAAGAGCAGACAGAAAAAGCACCCGAGCTTTTGTTCCCCCGATTCTCCGGCTGCGATTTTTTCCCCCAGCCACAAAAGCTGCTTTCTTTGCTGGGGGAGGGTATGTGCAAAGCTGTTCTGTAACCTTGCAAAGTCTCTCCAAAAATCCTTTATTTTATGTTTTTGGAAAGAGGGCTAGTGCAAAGTTGGTGTGTCTTTTTTTAATTCTCTGCGCTAAGCGTGCATCATTTATTTATTTATTTTTGAAGCCGAGAGCTGGGGTCATTCATCGGTTTGGAGGAGGAGGAAGTGGGGGGGGGGGAGCCTGCTTGGCCGCCCTATGGCTCGCTCCCCTAGCAAAGAAAGGCTCTGGAAACAGACTTTGATGAAAAGAGAGAAATTGGAGTCTGCATGAGCCATTCCTCCAATACCAAAAGCCAATATTGCAAGCTGTTTCTTCCAGGTTTCTTTTTCTTTGAAGGATGAATTTGTGATATATATTTTTTTATGTTGCATTGGGGCTTGAGCCCTGGGGAGCAAGCCAATGGCAGTTTTTTAAATGGCTAAGAGTACGTTTTCCAAGCTACCTCTCAGGATCTCTCAAAATAAGAACAGTTATTGCCACCATCACTTGTTTTTGAAGCTCTGCTTGTTCCTTTGTGGCCTTTCGGAGAAGGCTCAGCCATGTTGAGAATCCCCAAAGTTGGGCCTCCTGCCCCTGGACGGGCCCCCGCTGCCCTTGGACCCCCCCAGCAGCAAAAGAAAGTCATGCCTGTGATCACCTCTGCAGAACTGGTGGTCTCCAACCTCAGCAGCCCCCAGATGCGAGCTCTCCCAGCTACCTATTTCACTCAGGTGTACCCTCAGACTGCTGTGGTTGCCCCGTTGCCTAGGGGCAGCTGCCTTTATGCCACCCCCCATGGACCCGAGATCAAAAACATGCGATCCGCTTCCACTGGAAAACTGCCGGTAATACTGCTTTCCTTTTTCTCTGACTTTTCCTTTCTGTTTCTTTACCAGCGCGTTGGCTTCTGACACCACTGTTGCACCTTTATATGGATGCAACAAGGTGGGTAGGGTTGGGGGGCTGGTGGTTGGCACTGGGTTGCACCTGGCTGTGCAGACCCAAGGAACAAGGTGTACTTCTGTCAATAGCTCCAAAGCCAAGGCTACCTTATGGAAACCTCGATTGCTGGGTGGGCTTTGTGGGGTTATGTTGTCTGGGGGCGTGCAGATGGAGGTGTCCTTTGGGCTAATGCCCAAAGATCCGTGAATCTCAATACAGTACATTGTGGTTCATGCCATTTCTTAACTTCCCTGTACTTTGCCCTACAAGACTTCTCCTTTTCGTTATTGCAGAAATCCTAAGGCTGCTACGTCATGCAGAATGCCATCTGTGACACTAAGAGGATAGGGGAAGCATCTTTAAAAACAAGATGCTAAGGAGAAGAATTTCATGTTGCAAAATTCCTCTCCTGCCTTGACATGGCAGTTTGATACATTTCATCACTATTTCAGCCGAGTTGAGCCAGGCCTCAGTGAATCAGTTCCAGCAGCCTTAATCTTTCCCCCCTTTGCCTTTGATCAAAGCCTTGTCTCTTCCGCCACTCTCTGGAAGAGTTCTGATTTTGACAGAGCTTTTATCTGATTCGATAGCCTCCTGTACATGAATCTAAAGAACCATGCCTAAGTTTGATGCCTCCTCTGGCAAAGGAATCCTAGTAAGCTGGACCATTCGCCCATCTAGCTTAGGATCGATTGGCAGGGGCATTTCCCAGCCCTACCTAGATATGCCAGGGATTGGATGTGGGACCTTCTCCATAAAAGCCAGATGCTCTTCACCAAGCTGCTCCCAAAAGGGGAAAAACAGTTATAAGGAATTAAGGAAAAGCCCAAAGGCCCACCTAGTCCAGCACCTTCTTTTCACAGTGGTCAACCAGGTGTCCTTGGGAAGCACACAAGCAATAACCGAGCGCCACATCTCTACTTTCTTTACTTCTGATTCTCAGAAGCTGGTATTAAGAGGTGTGCTACCTCTGGCATTGGAGGTAGTGCGCAATCATTGTCACCATCTAAATAGGGGATGTTCAACCATGCAGGAGTCTTGCGCTTGGCGCTGTGAACGATGAGGATGTTCTTTAAGAAAAAAATAGTTGTTGTTTCAGTGCGTTTTTGTGAGCTGGGGGTTGTGCCCTCTGGCCAAGTTTTTCCGCACTTCTGGTGTGCGCTGCGTTTGTGTGGGTGTGAATTGAAATCGGAAGCACTCTGGTCCCAAGACAGGGCTGGACGGAAGCACCCAGCATTGCCAGGTGGACCCTGAGGACCTACGGGTGCTTAAGCCAGGTTGTTTCCCTTGTCTTTGCTTTTCCAGGGGATCTGGGAGTTGGGTCTAGCAGAATTAATCTGAACCTTGAGAAGCTTGTAGAGCAGAAAGAGGAAGTGGGGGAAAGTGTTGCACTTCCAGCTTCCTCCTTCAGCTCTGCTTTCTGGTCAAGAGAGAAAAAGGTAAGCAGCTTCTGCCCGATGACTGAGAGGGCAGTGGGGTGAGGGCCTCAGAGAGTTCATGGGCGCCATGGAAAAAATTCAAGGGGGACATTGCACCCATGAGCACTGCATTGGCAACCGCTGATGTAGGAGCAGGTGGGTTAATCCAGGTGAGCAAAGCATTCATCTTAGAACACCCACCCAGATCAACCTCTTGGCCTTTGCACGGTAGATCTAATTGCAATCATCCTGAAAGCGGTTGCTGTGAGAGCTGATGTAGTGTTGTGGCTTTGACTTAGGTTCATGGGCCCCAGTTTCAGTCTTGTCTCTGCCATGAGTTCAGTAGGTGAACATAGGAGCCTTGCTGTGTTGGGTTAAAGCAGCTTTGGCCAGCCTGGTGCCCTCCAGATGTTTTGGACTACAACTGCCATCAGCTCTGACCGTTGGCTGTGGGACTGATGGGAATTGCAATAGAAAAAGCCTGGAGGACACCAGGTTGGACTAAGAGATGGCTTCATGGGTCATGGTGTTCCCTAACTCCTTCAGTTCATCACTAGCCATTTCCCACAACACACAATGAAAAAAATAAGACTAGCTCTGCCGGCTCAAACCAGAGGCCCATTCAGTCCACCATCTTGTTCCTCACAGCAGCCAACCAGATGCCTACAAGAAGCCTACATGCAAGGCATGAGGGCATGAGTGCAACTGTTGTTCTCCACCTGGTATTCAGAAGCAACGTTCTTCCAATTCTTGAAGCAACATTAGCCATTGGGACTAGTATCCACTGATGGCCTCATCCTTCATGAAATTGTCTGGCTTTCTTTTCTAAATGGGAATCCGTCACATATCTTGTGATTGCAAATTGCATTGCATAACTTCAAAGATGTACTTCCCACCAGCGAGCTTCATTGGATGAGCCCAAGTTCTAGCCAGTATTATTCCCATTTGTAATATGGAAGATAATAGTAGCGGCTTGCTTAAAAGCAGCAGTGGAGGCACTGTGCCCCTCCAGATGTTGCTGAACTACAGTTCCCATCATCCCCGGCCATGCTTCGTTGGGATGATGGGAATTGTAGTTCAGTAACATCTGGAGCGCCATAGGTTCCCTACACCTGCTTTAAAGGGCCACTGTAAGGATTTACAACCAGATGGTGCATGTGAAGTTCTTATGCCTTGATTAAATATTGTTATTAATCCCTGCATGGCAGTGCTGTCTGAGCCTGTACATTATGTGGGATGGATGAGCCACTGGGTGGGGCATAGCGTGGAGTGATACCCTACATGATGGCTGATAAGGCAAAGGTGTAGAAATGCTCGTCGTTCTGATTTAACCAGTGCTGTTGTTAGTAATTGTATTACCTGTGTTTTCAGGTAGAACTATAACCCCCTGCTTTCCTGCTAGGGACTTGGGGGCGGCAGGGAGCACCAAAACTACTCCTGTACCATTAGTGGTACTTGGCTGGGTCATATACTAAAAGCAAACTGGACGTCTCCATTGGTGGCAATTCCACACACCTTTCTCTCCCTGCCAATCTACAACCTTACGCATGTTTACTCAGAAGTCTATCCTGCTGTGTCCGAGGAGACATATTCCCTAGTAAGTGTGTTTTAGGAGTGCATTCCAGTGCCCTCTGAATCTCAGGCTGCTGCTCTAAAGCACATTATCTTGTAACACCCCCAATAATTTGTGTGTGTTTTGAGAATATAAGAAGGACCTTGCTGGTTCAGACCAAAGGCCCATCTATCCCAGCATCCTGTTCTCGCAGATGCCTGTGGGAAGTCCAAAAGTAGATTTACCTTAGTGGCATGTGTGGCACTTGATCATCCAGTCCCATGGTGAGCTTGCAGACAGCTATTGAAAACCTGTCTTTCTAGGAACCTCTCGGTCCCAGGTTGGACTTAGTTGTCTGGTAAGATTCTGATGCTATAAATCATGCCTCTGAACACCTGTTGTTTGGGAGCACAAATGGGAGAGCGTTGCTGTGCTGGCCTCTACTCAATAATGCACACCGAGTGGCAGTGGCTCTCCGGGTTCTCTAGGACTGAACTGGATATATTTTGTATGCACTGTAGAGCATGAGTTCTACCACAATGCTATAGCCTCTGGCCCAAAGGGAAGTTGAGTTTCAACCGAGGTGAGCGGCAAGGCAGAGGCACCTTAAGGGCTTCCGTATGGAAAAGGGCATTTTGTCAGACTTCAGCTTTCCTCATTGCATTGCTGTGATGCTTATCCCTGGAACATAGGAAGTTGCTTCATATTGAGTCAGATCGCTGAACCATCAGTATTGTCCAACAGAAACTTCTCTGGGGTTCTTCCATGGATTTAACCAAGTTTTTCCCATCACCTGCTGCCTGTTCATTAGAACTGAAGATGCCTTGGAGCGAACCTGTGGCCTTCTGCATCCAAGGCATTGCTCTAACCCTGACATCCCTGCTCTGACATCCCTGTGCTGCTGTTTCCGGAAAGACCAGAAAACTCAACTGGGCTTGTCTGATAGTTCTCTGCCTCTGGGGTAGAGGTGATGTTGATGTTTCTGCTTGGGGCTATGTCTGCTCCCAGGGAATTTGCAAATTGCACTCCTTCCCTATAGTGCCATGGGGAGGACAGGAGGGCCATAGCTCATTGGTAGAGCACATGATTTGCTTACATGTTCCAGGCATGTCCAAGTAAGGCTGGGAAAGAGTCCCATCTGAAACTCTGGAAAGCTTCTATCAGCTAGTGGCTGGGTATGCACATCTTGCTAAGCCAAACTATGGCTTGCCGGGACCCTGCTAACATGCGGAGTGGAGATCACAGCTGCTTTGCTCCTCTCCAGTACTTTTAGCTCAACATGCGGCACTTAAGCCAATGTTTGGCTCTGCGTGTCATCTCAACATGGAGTTGTGGTTAAGCTCCCTTCTCCTTAGCCATGACCTGTAACCAGGAACAAACCTTGGCTATAGATTGTGGTTAATCCCCCATTCAGAGGACACAATGAGCCAAACCTTGGTTTAGCTGCCATGCTGAGCTGCAAGGATCTGGGAATGAGCAAAGTGCGTGAAATCGCCTCTTTGGGAGCCAGCATGTTCGCGCTAAACCATGGTTCATCTTAGCATAATGTGTGAGTGCGGATGGTGTGTAGACGGTGCAGAGTGTGGCAGACTGATGGGTTCAAGAATACCTTCCTCAATACAATCTTGCTCCGCTGTTTTGCAACTGTTGATGCTAGGCCTCCATGGCATGCTTGCTGAAAGCTTTGACCAATGCTCCTAATTGGCAGAGAAGCCTGGAGTCATCACCCCCCCCCCCAACTTTCCCCAAGTCCTGGGAACTATTCCAGCTTCTGCTGTAACCCTCTGTCCTCCCAAGGGCTGAATCGAATTTCAGATTTCTCTATCTCCCCTGCTGAGTGTTTGACGCCTCCTGACAGGTGTGGGCTTTGGGATGAACATCCCCTTGTGGGTCTGTAGCTCTCCCTCTCCCCTCCATACTTTCTAGTTCTTGG